ATGCTACCTCGCCCGGGAGAGCTGCGCTCACTAAAGGCGGGGGGGGGGCGCTGAATGGCCACAGATTGACCACAGAACAGCTTGCGTGGGAAGAAGAAACTCGCAAGTGTTAAGTAAACCCCACTTAGAAGAATGAGGTCATCTGCACCCGTCTGGGGAGTGCGGGGAGCTGGGATCCATTATTATTGATTCAAAACAACTCAAACCAGGATAGGCCACCTTATGGTTACTTTTCTGAAGCTGCTCACTTTGCCCTCTGAAGGCAAAGGCAGCGTGGGCTCTGTCTTTCCTGCGAGTCGAGTCAGCGTCTAGAGAGGGCTCGAGCTGGGCGGGAAGGCAAGCAGAGGCTGTCGGCTCCCAGCCTGCTCAGCTGGAGGTCGCTCCGCTGTCTCTCGCTCTCCTGGCTTAGGGACCTCAGCGAGGCTGGTGGCTGGGGCACAGCGGGAGGCGACCGGGAGCCCTGGTGTTTTGGAGAATCCTTCCCAAGGATGCCGCCAGGCCGTGTCCGTGTCCGGTGGGCAGGCTGTGGGCAAGACAGCCATGAGAGCCGCGCCCGTGTCCTGCAGGCTGTGAATGAGCAGAGGCCACAGCCACCGGGACTTCGCGCTCTGCACCGGGAATAAGGAGGGTGGGAGACAGGAGCCTGGCCACCTTCACTGGGTGCTCCGGAGGGCGGGAGAGCTTCATCCGGGCTCCTCACAGGGTTCACCAGAATTAAAACACAGTGTCCTCAAACATCAAACGAATTTGACTTTGCTAAAAGCGTCCCCCTCGGCCTCAGGTGTCCTGCGTGCTGTGCTCAGCTATTCAGCCAAGCCACAGTGGTACAGTCGGGGGAGTCTCTGAAGACTGGGGAGAAACGCGGGGCGGCAGAGGTTCCCCGGCCTCCTCGCGGCCATACAGTAGGGGAAGCAGGCCCGGGCTTGGCCTTCTGTGGCGGCAGAGATGGTCTGCTGCGGGACTGAGAGCGGGATGGGTCTTGGATTTTGTCTTCCCGGAATTCGGGGCCATGCACTATGTAGGAGGCATCACCTTGGGTATGCAGACCTGTGACATCTGGGGGTGACTCTGCACAGTACTGTCCCGCACCTGGGGCTCCCGGACCCTGCAGGCTCTGCTGCCCCACCCTGCTCCACTGCTGAGCCCTAGGGTGGGCCCAGATCTGCTGTCTGGCTGACCCGGCAAAGAGGTGCCCCACAGTCCTGCTGTGTTTTCCTCTCCTCAGGAACGTGGGCACTCTCAGCCAAGATTTCTTCACGAGCCCTACTGGAGCACTCTGGAAATCTTGGGGCTTGTTCACCAAGAGTCCTGTTTTGGAAGAGAAAGACAAGCAGACAGATGAAAAGCAGCGGAGCACTGAGGAACTCAGAGCAGGAGGCTCCCCCTGACCAGGCAGTCTTCCCAGGTGTCCCATCCCGTCTCTTTTCTGGGAAACTTTCCAAGCTGGTGTGGAGGTCCCCAAGTGCTGACTACTTGGGGCGTGTGAAGCTAATATCACAAAATCCCTCACCCAAAGTGCAGCTAAGGAAATCCAGGTAGGTATACCTGACCTGGCCTTTCTTTCCTCCACACTGTTCCCTGCTACTAAAGCTTGTTGCCCTAGAAAAAAGCTCTCAGACGAGGTAACCTCAGGCCCTTTCTGCTCCAACGGGCCTCCCCAGCCAGATGTCACGTACACTGGGGTGCACAGCAAACCCCGGGGCTCCTGCTCCCATCCTGTGAGATAGGAGGGCACAACCCCTTGGGCAAACATTGCATCTCCTCTCCCTCCTCTTGGGGCAAGCAAAAATCACTAGGAGCTGGAGGCCAGTTCTGTTGTAGTCTTGGGATAGGACACAAGGAGTCTCTTCTAGGAATGCCCTTCGGGGAGGAAGAATCCAGGAACATCTCCCCAGCTCAGGGATCAAATCCCCTCAGTTCAAGAATCAGATTGGCTTTGCAAGCACAAGCTGGGGGAGGAAAGCTCCTTCCCAGAGCCTGTACCGGTGTGTCAGAGACCCACGGAGTCCCGAGTTGGGGCAAAGGCAAGGGGTGTGGGGTGTGAACGTGGAATCCCCAGAAACGGCGCCTCCTCCTGTGTGACACCTAGACAGAGCCAGGAGGGATGCAGCCCTTCCGGGTGGGCTGGAGGTCAGCGTGGGGTGAGGAGGGAGGTGTGCGCTCCATAGCCCCAGCAGCGCCACGGACCGGGCAGCGCCTCACCCTCGTGAGGTTCCGCGCCCGCCCAGAGGCCTTGGGACTGACAACCTCTCAACTTCCCGTGGGACCGGTGCTGCTCTCCAGAGCCACATCCAGTTTTAAATCAAAGTAAAAGTGCGAGTAGAAAACGCTTGAGCTTTGGGGCCACGTCCCAGAGTTCGGGCCCTGAAAGTGGCTCCCGCCCTTCTCCCCGCTCTCCCTCGGTCCTACTGCCAGGGCGGGGTCGGCCGCAGGCGCGCTCGCTGAGGTCTGGGCTGC